CTCAGTCTGTAACGTGCAAAATAAATGGTCAAATACGCAACTTTTTTTGTGGTGGCAGCATGATCGCGGGTGTCATGGCGCCGTTCAAATTTCGTAGCGTTGATGTGTAATTAATTATAACAATTAAATTAGGTATCTGGAAACAAATACGTGTGGGTGGGTACAGACGATTTGTTATACAGTAAGTACAGTTGTATGCAGTAAAATCCTAGAGTCTACTATCCCTTTAATATTATGAACTTTTAATGTTTCAAATTCTAATAATGTCAAATTGGGATAATTATTTATATTTTGTTATTCCTTATTCTATTTTCAGATAGTCGTTGACCCAAAGATGAGAATAATCAATGCTAATGCTGGATGGCCGGGTTGCGTTAATGATGCCAGGGTACTTAGCAATTGCGTACTCTACCAGAAGGCTGAGAGGGGAGAATTGTTTGGTGATGGAAAGTTTATTATTGGCGATTCTGCATATCCAGTTAGAGGTTGGCTCATTCCTGTAATTAAGGACAATGGCAGAATAACCCCAGCTCAACGAAAGTTTAACGGGTGCCTATCATCAATGAGACAATTAGTGGAACGTGTTATTGGACACTTAAAGGGCCGTTTCAGACGATTAAGATGTGTACACATATACCGGGCTGAAATTGCAACAAAACTCATCATTGCCGCATGTGTATTACACAATGTCTGCATAGCAAACAGGGAGGATCTTGACGAATTCATAGAAAATGACTTGGAAGACAATAGGGGGAATATGAATTTTGGAATCCAGAACAACAATGAAGGAATAGTTCTGCGTGACCAACTTGTTGCATTGTTTGAATAATGATCTTAAAACTGTAATAAAGATTGTCATGACATATCTAATTATTGATTTATATTTTCATTTAGTATGTGTATGGATCTATTGACTTATCAAGTTATTTTAGGGCTATCAATTTAGTATGTAGGCCCTATACACAAAGTGAAGTCAAAAATTAAATCTCTACACTACTGATGGCCCCTGAAATAATTATCAGAATCAAGTCACTTTCAATCTTAAATATTCAATATAATCAATATTTAATAGATGAAAAAGTAATAATTACTCAAATAGAATTTTTTATTAACTATAACAAAGAACAAAAACAAAATTTACAAATATTGGACATTTGCCAGATAAGAAAATAAAATCTCTACACTATTGATGGCCCCTGAAATAATTATCACAATCAAGTAACTTTCAATCTTAAATATTCAATATAATCAACATTTAATAGATAGAAAAGTAATAATTACTCAAATTGAATTTTTAATAACAACGAACAATTAATAATAACAACAACAACAATTAATAATAAGGAACAATTAATACTAACAAAGAACAAAAACAAAATTTACAAATATTGTACATTTGCCAGATAAGAAAATAAAATGTCAAACAATGAACAATGAACAATGAATAATAAATAGTTCTGAACTATAAATGATTTTAGTGAGGTAACGTTTTGATTATAGTCACTTATTGGTCAAGATAAAATAACTGCTTGTAGCAAGGAGTCATATAGACTTTTTAGTTGTATCGGTTTAGTTCTTCAATGATCGTTCGAATAAATCGAGGAACCTGTCAACTCTCTGCATTTTATCAGAATGCATTTTCTTTGCCTCTGAAGCCATTTCCATCCCAACATCCTTCATCTCGGTCATGACCAGAAGTTGTTGATTGCGAATACCACTTGATCGTCGCGAAACTTTAGGGGTCTGCTCAGAAGACGAGGTGCTGCTCTGATCAGTTTCCAAACTACTCCTATTTCTCCTTTTTTTATACGGAGTGAAAGCTTCATCAGTATCAGCCAATGAAGTGGATGAACCAGCAGCACTTGATGCAAGTGAAGTAGATGCACAAGATGTAGCATTGCCTTTTGACTTTAGTGAATCAAAATTGAAAGCTGGAATCGTTGATGCCCTGTCACTAAATACACTATCGAATTCGTCCATGTACTTAAACTCCTGCCTCTCAGCACCAGTTCTATTATTGTTGTCAGTGGTTTTTTTGTACTTCTTTTTCAGGGAATTCCACTTATTTATTATCTGAGACTGAGTAATACTTGCATCAGAGTTCAGTTTCACCATCTCCTCTCTAATCGATTTCCAAAGTGTGATATGATTCTTTTCACCTTTAATGAACAACTTTTCCCTTGCTAATCGCAGATTTACGAGTGACTTTTCTTCTGCCGCACTCCAGAAATGAGGTGCACATTTCTGGTCGAGATTACTATTAGTATTAGATTCACCCGTATCAACACTATTCAACTTGAGAATTTGCCTCAAAATATCCTGTTGTTCTTTAGGATCTACGAAAAAGAGAAAAAATTCAGTTTATTCATTTTTCATTAAAGAGGAACACAATAATCCGTGTGAGATAATAGTTTTTGGACTCACTGTGAACTTTTATTACTATTGTATTGTATTGATCAATCATACTAAAATAAACTTACCTATGTCAGGAGAATTTAGCAATGCGGCTATGTTCTCATTCACACTTATTTGGTGAGTCTGTCCATCATAATCGAGCTGTAGTACTACGTCACCGCTGTAAAAGAAAGACAGAATTATTGATTTTTGTTTAATTGAATTGGATTTGAAATCATCATCAGCGTGATCGTGTGCTGGCCTACACAAATCACGTTTTATCTTGTACCAGCGACGACTAATGTAACGTTTGGCATGTCAGTGTTGAAAGAAAACATTTTCATTCACTTAGAAACGATTTAAATATTCCTTATGTTATAGTTATAGCAAAAGTAGGAGAAATATTAATCTTTTTCATAATGAAATGATAAAATATGAAAAAATATGATTAAATAATTTCATAATGACCAACCTTCCACTAACGCCCGCCATCTTGAAACTGAGCTCGACCAACCTCCGGAGATTGGTACAACTCGGTCGGACTACGGTTCGGACTAAATCACGTTCGGGTGCATCTAGTCCCGACATAGTCAAGAAGTCGTGCCACCCGAAGGCGGCCCTGTGTGAAGTTTACTGACGTAAGTCTGGAATGCCGTTATGGGGCATGAATCACTGTTTGGAATCTCGTACATTCGGCCACTGTTTGACACTTCATCTTGGTCTTCTCGATTATTCTTGGTGAGACAGTCTATCTTTATCATGTAACTTAGGCCACTGTCGACGTCTTTCTCGATTGTAAAATCACCAGGTTTCATCCTACGAATGTTCTCCCTACCTCGATTACAATTCCGATGGTATCTCCTCCTACATCGTCCAACTTCCAAAACCTTTCCACTTGGCGTTGAAGAATAGCTTCTTCATCGATAAAGTGTGAGGAAATACGAGTTGAGAGCCCTGCTTCCATTGGACCATTGAGAGTCCAGGCCAAAATGGTCTTAGTTGCATAAGGTGCTCCTGAACAGTTCGGTGGCTAAGGACTTTTACTATTGCCGCCTCTTCAGTAGACGATAACACTGGTTGTCCACCTAGTTTTCGTGTATGAAGCGGTAACTGACATGTCTTATTCTATATCGTTCCATACGGTATCTTGAATTGCTTTGATGCATCACATCTGGTCATTCTTCCAATTTTTACCTCTCGTATAGCATTTTCTAGAACTCCCTGTGAATAGCCTGGTTGATGTGCCCTTGCCCCAGCCTAACGTTTATAGGCGCATACCATAATTGTTAGGACAGGTAGGACACATCAAAGCTCAATACCTACGAAAGACAATAGATAAGACATTGGACACTTTTTTTTATTTCACTTTGACATTCAGTGTGACCTAGATCACCATGATCAAAGCCACACTGAATGTCAAAGTCACCCCGGTTGATGGTATAGAACTAATATATATTATTAGAAGAGAACTAAACTATTTATTTTTTTCAACTTATCTGAAAATTAACAAAACTCTGAATGATTCATAAATTTGATAATTAATTACCTTAATCACTCCACCAATAAACACTCTGGCGTATATGATCTCGACCTCAGTCACGCTGGAGTCTGTGCTGCCATCTGATAGTATGGAAACAAACTTGGACGAGTCTATTTCTGTTGCTATCTTGTTGAGCTCTGTAACAGCAATGAATTTTGAAAATTCTTTGGCACTATTGCAATTCAAGTAGGTGTTTCCAATGTCTAGGCCTTTTGTCTGATCCAGTTTCGATAGCCACACATAATCTGAATAGGGTCGTCCTGCTAAGCACAAGGCATGAACATTCCTAAACAAAATCGTCAACTTCTTAACTACCGCCTTGTTTAGGAATTCAATGGTTTTGTGTGCCTCGGTTTGTTCACACTTACCGATCTGTGTTTTTCCTCTCGTAACTTCCACACTTCTTGTGTGTGCCTTGCTACATTCATGAGACTTCAAGGTCTCTACTTTTTCTGTAGTCGATGTATATGTTGATGATGAATCGTGCACATCTGCACACCAAGTGCATGACATAGAATCCTGGTCCTTGTCCACCCTTAGCCAGTTGTGTAGAAGTGCTAACCTCGTACAACTAATATTGGAATCTACCTTTCGATTTGTGTGCGCGTGTGTGTGTATACGTGTGGCTTAACTGGCACAGTTACTGAGTTAGTGTGCGTGTGCATGTAGACTACTACTACTTTTAATAAGATGACAAGAGTCAATCTGTGAATAACGTTGCTTTATTCAGTCAGACGAACTATGTCGGTGAGAGACATGACAGGTAAGCCTCGCCACCTCCCTCATGTTCCCGCTACGTGTCCTTACGCGAAGGGAATATAGTCCATATTACAACATCTCCCTTTTTCACAAAAGTGAACAAAAACTGATGTCATTCAAAGATCTGATACAATTCTTGTGATGATTTGAAAGAAATAAAATTTGAACAAATTGTTCCCACTGCCCATTGTTCAAGGTCCACTGTCCTGGATCCATGTCCCCATTATACTTTGAAATTATATTCACTGAAACATAGTCTGATTCAAAATGGATATACAACTACAGTCCATATGTGATTATCTGATCACTATATATGAAGAGTACAAGATGATATATGATCAAATACTGAGTACACTTAGACCACACTTGAGTGCATTGTCATTCACTCGGAATCTCTGAATCTCACAAGTTGTCGCACCTCACGACCTGATCGCGTAGTAGTCCCGGTCCCAGTTGAGGGTTTCATGATTCCTTTTACTGGACTGCTGCAGACTATAGGTGGCGGGTTATCCCTAGGTTTTATTATACCATCAGTGGTTCTGTCGCTGGGTCGCACGGTAAGTTTGGTACACGGCTCTGGATCGGCTTGCGTCCCGGCCATTTCACGTAACTGAACACGATTTCTACGAATGTGCGCACCACTCGCAGTTTTCACTACATACAAATGGTCATACTCTACACACTGTTTGACCACCTTCCCTGGGTACCATAGTTTCTTGTCTTTATCCAGAATTCGCACTGGCTGTCCATCGAGTAGTAGTGGTGTCCTTCTACTAACTATGCCTATGGTTTGAACGGCTACTGATTTAACACGTGGCGCCACAAAATCCTAACAGCCACTGGCGTAAATTCAAAGTATGACGTCAGCCTGGCGGCTATATTTATGTCCGCGCTGTAGCTCTATCGATCGTCTACCAGCACAGGCAGAGAGGTGTGCGCGTATCAGGGCCGAGAGTGCCTCGGACATAATTCTGGGTACATGTTGGGCTAATTTCACATCTCGTTAGGAAAATTTGTGGTGGGCAGACGTACATCTATTCGCCCTGAGTGCCGGGCGGGGGAAACAACTGCCGGGCGCTGCCGCCCACCGCCGCCCATCGTAGCTACAAGCCTGTACATGCACATATATGGTATACATACATACTGTATGTAGTACTAGTCCTCTATCCACTGCGTAATAATAATCGGACTCGTGAAACTTGAGTAGTAATATTTAGGGAATTAAATAGACGCTACAAGCTACTGTCGGTCTTCGCAATGCATTCTCGGATTGCTGGAGCACCTATTAGGAATGTGTCTCCTG